TAGTCAAGTACCATGGAGACGGCGATCCCAACTCCGCCATCGTCGCCCTTGAGATGGAGGAGATGCTTGAGGTCATCTCGGTGGAGGGTTCGGATAAACGGTGGTGGGACTTCCGCGACCTCTTCAACTCTCGTTCCGCGCGGTATCGTACTTTCCTTGTCAGCTGCATAGCGCTCTTCGGCGAACTGGACCTTCCCCCACGAGTTACTACATTCCATTGATGGGTAAGTTGCTTATTTCGTAAACGCCCTCGAGCGGCCGCGCTGAAGCGAATGCGTGCCAATAGCGAAGACGGCGGGAATCACGAGCGAACGCACTCAGCTACTTTTGAACGCTCTCCAGACTCCAATCATGATGGCCGCCGCTCTCTCCGGATTGCGCTGGCTTGACAAATGGGGGCGACGGAAGCTGCTTGTCACGTCCAGCATAGGGATGACCATATCCGTCACCGTCATCACAGCATGCACGGCGCAGCAGGCGGGCAAACCACTCGTAGGAGGCGTCGGGATAGCCTTCGTCTATGTCTTCCTCGTGGTTTTCGCATTCGCTTGGACACCCGCCCAATCGTTGTACCCCACGGAGGTCCTCGCGTTTCAAACTCGTGCCAAAGGGTTGGCATTCATGAACCTACTCTCCAAGATCGTGAACGTATTCAACACATACGTCCCACCAATTGCGATCTCAAGGGCGGGATGGCGTTTCTACATCTTGTACATCGCGTGGGACGCCCTTGGAGTGCTGGTGATCTATTTGACGTTCGTGGAGACAAAGGGACGGAATCTGGAGGAAATCGATTATATCTTCGAGGCGGAAAGTCCGAAGAAGGCAAGTCTGCGAACTTCGAGCTCTGCTCGAGAGAAGAGCAGTCAGGCGTGACAGTAACAGCAGTGGCACAGGAGTTGACTTGTAGGATGATCTTGTGCATCTGGCGTCCAGGAATAGATAGTTAGTTCTATGCCATTCCGCGATCACAGAAGATTTGCGGATGTGTGTCAGAGTGTGTCACGATTCAAGATGCTTGTTTTGATATTAAAACAACGATACTCATCACAACAATTGTATACTGCCCATTTGTGTTCATGTGCCACCCGAACATTTACGAGAATATGCTGCCCTCTGGAGGTTGAGGGAGTTTGCGGTTGCTCATTGAAGCCATCTCCCTGTTATTTCCAAAAGACTTGGTGTGAGTGGTATGTGGGGAACTGGATAGTGGCGCACCTTCGAATCTCTACCAGGACAGTCTCAATGCTGTAGTTCCTGTTCCAGTGAGCGAGAACTGGCAGCTTCAACTGGTCAACCTTGCCATCTACTTGGCTCACGAAGGGAAGGTTGACGCGGGATACGAATTGGACAGCGGGGGGTTGATCGGGGTAGTTCTCGCCACAGGTGATTCTCAGACTGTAAATGCGGTTCTCGTGAACGGTCTGTGATCATCGGACAGAGCAACAATGAGATAGATGGTACCAAGCCAACTGCGACTATGAGTACTGACATGTCCGGGGCCAATGATCGTGCCATTCCACTGGCTCATCATGATATCGTCTCCATCCTCGAGACCGTATGAGCAGGAGCCGTCGCCGATACCCTTCTCGCCTTTCTCGAGCTCTTCAAGCAGACGGAAATTGCGGGGTACTGTGCACACCAATTAGCAGAGCGCGTCAGAGAAAGCGGAGAGAGCATGCAGACCCTTAGCCATGGTGGAAGAGAGCAGAGAGATGTGGCTGAGACCGTGCGGCGGCGAGGCCAGGCAGTGCCCTGCCAAATCGAGCACATCTCCGGCAACGGCCGGCCCGTCATCATCAATGGAGGTGCTTCGCTCCCGCAGTCGCCTACGCAGCTCTTTCCATCCCTCTGATTAATTCCCTCACACCTCAACCATCTCTATCCACGCTGGCATCATGTTCAGAGGAGGCCAGCCGAATCCATACGACGAAATAGTCGGTAAGCAGCGTCCATCTATATCTCCGACTGCGCGGGAAACAAGGCAACAGAGTCTCAATCCCTCCGTAGCGAAGACTACCGACGAGAATCTGACCAGTGAGAACTGGGAGCTCATTTTGAATCTATGCGACAAGGTCCAGGAGGAGGGGGAGCAAGGGTGGGTTATTTCTGACGTTGGGCACAGTGTTGGTGTTACTGATTGTCGACTCATCTTAGAGCACGCAATGTCATCGCGGCATCGCTGAAGCGTCTTACGCATCGAAACCCCAATGTCCAATTGTATACCCTAACATTGGTTGAAGCCCTGTCCAAGAATTGTGGGCTCGAAATTCACAGGGAGATCTCATCTCGGGCATTCACTCAGGGCCTAGAGAAGCTCGTTACAGATAGGGTACGTCCTGAGGACCTCTGTCGTGCTGCTATGATCTCACTTTGCTGCCCCAGACGACCCATGATAGGGTCCGCAGGCGTGCATTGAACCTGGTGGCGATATGGTCCGCCGAGTTTGAGAACGACACTACCCTAGGACTCATGGAGGAGTGTTACGAGAACCTGAAAAACAAAGGTACGACACCAGATGTACAACCTAAACTCCGTAATACCTATCTCTTGTGGCTTAGGTTACAAGTTTGAAACACCCAATGAACCGCCCCCTCCCGACGTCGACGATGAGGTCCGCCGTCGAGAGGAAGAGGAACTTCAGCGGGCCCTCGAGATCTCCATGCAGGACAAGGGCGGGAGGTCCCAGTGGCAAGCCTATTCTTTGGCATCTTCAAGTGGGGCGGGAGGCTCTAGCACGGGTAATACTCAGCAAGCATCCTCGTCTACTGTCCCGGGGCCCTCCGCTGCGGTTTCTCGCTCTGCGACAATCTCGTCTCAGCCTCCCACATACGGAGGCTATGTTCCATCATCCGCAACCCCGGCCATCTCTGCGGTTGAGACCGTTGGGTCTTCGACGGTCACTACAGCTGTTGCCACGAGCGCGTCGCCTGTTTCTGCGCAGTCCTCTCAAGATAGCATTCCTATCGTCACTCGCGTCCGTGCACTCCACACGTTTGAACCAACAGAGCCGGGAGAGCTTGCTTTCGAGAAAGGTGACATCATCAAGGTCGTGGATCGTAATTACAAGGATTGGTGGCGTGGGCAACTGAAGGGACGCACTGGCATTTTTCCAGTCAACTATGTTGTGCGTATATCCATCTCTTATCCTTCCGGTACTCTATCGAACTATGATACATTAGGAACCTCTACCGGAACCTACTGCCGCAGAGATAGCTCGTGAAGCGGAACAAGAGGCAGCGGTGTTTTCACAGGCTGCTAATGTTGATCGTCTTCTCACGATGCTTCGCAACATGGACCCAGCTAGGGATAACTTAGCTGACAACGAGGAAATACAGGTACGCCTTGATTTGTAATCGTGAGATTTGTCGATTGACACTATGTTCAAAGGAACTCTATCGGTCTTGCATGTCACTGCGACCGAAGATTGTGAAGTTGATTGATAAGTACAGCCAGAAGCGAGGTTTGTTGTTTGACCACATGACATCATTGAGGGGGGGAAACTGACTAGTGGCGTTTTCAAAGCCGACTTGGTATCTATGAATGAGACTTTTGTGAAGGCAAGAACGATATTCGACGGGATGATGGAGGAGAGTCTGGCACGTCACACTGGTGGTATGTCAGATGTACATTTCTGCTGTGAGGACATTCTGGTTGATGCGCTCCTGCATAGTCTACGATAGTCGTCCTCCCTATGCGCAGACTCCCAACCAGCCTTACGGCAGACCGGATTCTCGTGCTCATCAGGACTACCATCCGCCTGGTGGCTCACAGATCGCCCCTGGTGGCCCCCAGGCATATGGCTGGAACCCCTCAGTATACGAGCAACCGGGCTATAACGCTTACCCTGCTCCCCCTGCCGCGTATCCCCCTGCTGCTGAGAGTCCATATGCACACGGGCCACCGCCGCAACCTTACGTGGACCCCAACGCATACGCCGCAGTGCGTCCACAGTCCGTTTACAGTCAACCCCCACCACAGGGATATCCTGGTCCCGGTCCAGTACCGTACGGCGCTCCTGTGGAACCGCAAGGTTATCCCGCCAGTGCTGCTCAGCATCCACCGCAGCAGCTTGGTCCCCAACCAGTGCCTCACGCCGCGCCTGAGCCGACGCCGCAGCCCCAGATATATCCTCAGCCTGGTACACAACCAGAACAACATCAGCCTCAGGTGTATCCCCAAGTTAGTGTTCAGCCAGAGCCCCAGCCCCAAGCGCAGGGACAACAACAGTTGCAGGGACAATCCCAGGCGCCGCCCCATACTCAATACGAAGCTCAACCGCAGACGCAATCTCAGACTCAAGATCAGCCGCACCAGCAGTCTCAGTCTCAGCCCCAGCCTCAGCAAGCCGCGCAGCAATCCTCGTCGCAACAGAGCGGCCCGCCGTACGTGTACGACCCGAACGCCACGTACGCAGACCCGAATGTGCAAGCGTGGGCCCAATACTATGCGCATGGCGGCACAGACCCCACCGGTTCGGTGTACTTCATCTCCATCCCTGGCGTGAAGGAGGGCCCGCCGGCCGCTGCCCCCACGCCGTCTCGCAATCAGTCCACCGACTCTGTCACGCAGGATGGTACTCCCGTCGCTCAGGTCGGGCAGGTTGCCCCGCTTAACGTTAACAAAACGCACGCTACCGAGCCCGCTGGTGGTCAGCTGTCGCAGGTTGCGGCGACCCCTCCTGCGTATGGGGCGTCGCCATATGCACCCGCGGGCCTACATCTCCTGTAGCGGCAGAGGGTCCCCCTCTTGCCGGGCAGCCGTATTATGGGCTCCCGAACCAATTTGGTAACCTGGAGATCAATGGAGATGACAGGCAGAATGGTCAAGCAGGTTTTGGACCGCAAGTGGGAGCGTAGGAAAGATTGGACTTGGTTCTCGTAGGCAAGATTACACGCGTGCGAGCTTATATATGCTTTCTACTTGTGGACTTTGCGACATATTCTCTATCGTCGCACACAACAGTTTCAATCAGTGGGGATGGTGTACCCAGAAAAGATTGCTCAGAGTGAGAATCGAACTCACGACCTCAGGTTTACCCACGAAGTGTGGTCATGTCATTGCATGAGACCTGCGCTCTACCGATTGAGCTATCCAAGCTTGTACGTAATAGGTACCGCGCTTAACTCATCCGTGTAGACGCTCGTTTTGTCAGGGCGGCTATTGCACTTGTATATAACTTCGTCGGTACTTATCTGGTAAGTAGATATATCGACCTGGACCACGCTTTCTATCTCCGTCTTTGTCTTCAACTGATCCAGCTTGCACGGATGCAATCAAAACTTTGATACTGGCATAAACAAGAGAAGCGGACGCCACCGTTACGAATGCGCTGGAGCCTCGTGTACCTGTGAAGTCATCCTGAACCCCGCTACAAGTCAGCGCACTCCTATCTCACTCCTGACCACCTATCCTCGCAACATGGCTCCTCACGTAGATCTCGTTCTGGTATTCCGCTCGTCGCCAGGGAAGGTACTCTCGAAACCGCAGGCAAGGGAGAATGCAAGACAGGCCACTGAACAGTACACGCGCCTCCTTGAGGTTCTGAAGAATGGTCGTCTCGACGTTGTAGGGAAGAGGGGCGAGCAGGAGGGCCAGTTGCTCGTCCTACTACATTGCCCCGAGAACACATTGAAGCAGCTGGTGGAAAGGGAAAGGTGCGTCCTGTGTGCCTCATGTTACCTGGCTCGTCTTCATCTTTGCTACAGGTATTCCGACTTCTTATGCGGGCTACCGACTACAAATCCTACGGGCGCAAGAGACCTCACGGGTGAACCACTCACTCCCGCGGACCGACTGCGCCTCGTCTATACCTATGTGACAGCCACCCCCGGTGATGGTGGGCTCGGTGTGGCGCCTGGTTCGTCAAACTGGGACCGCGTCGAGTCCGTTATGGTTCTCCACGACCACGAGTTCAACGAAGCCTGGATTCGCTCCTGGACCACACGCCAGTTAGGCTTCCCCAAGTTCGACAAGATTCGGGAGCAGGTATGCCATCAAATCTCTCTGTGTTGGCCTCGTATCTTGACTTTCCCCTTCAGTTTGGAGAAGCCGTGGCGCTGTACTTCCACTTCCTCTCCTTCTACACGAAACAACTCATGTTTATCTCTGCGGTCGGCATCTTATTCTACTTCTATGCTCTACCTTACTCCAACCTCTACTCCTCCATCCTCCTTCTGTGGTCAATTACTTTCGTAGAATGGTGGCGCATCAAGCAGCGTCAACTGTCGGTGCGATGGGGAACAAAGGGTTCATTCCGGGTCGAGAAGCGTAGGGCTCAGTATGTTCCGCTCTCGTGGTGGCGGAAGGATTTGAGAGCCCTCGCAAGCTTGCCCGTCATCTTGTTCTTCGCTTCGGTGTTAGCTGTCCTCCTGACAGCCATCTTCGTATTCGAGGCATTTGTCACCCACCTGTACACAGGCCCCGGCCACAAGCTGATCGTGAGTTGTGTCCATCCAGCTTTCGCGGTGGTTACTAATGCCAGTACAGGGATTCAGCCCAACGATTCTATTCACTGCCCTTGTTCCGCGGCTCCTTAGCATCTATCACTCGTATGCGGTTTCTTTCACTAACTGGGAAAACCATGGCCACCAGTCTACGCACGATGCGTCACTCACGGTCAAGACTTTCAGTCTATCAGCCATTGTCGCCTATCTTGGTATTGCCCTGTCTGCTTTCGTCTATGTGCCCTTCGGTGAAGAGGTTATGACTCTTGTCCAATCCTACCTCTTCCACGGCGACTCCACTGCGAAGACCTGGTTCGATTCTATCCTTTCCGCCTTACCCTCAAATGTTACCGCGTCTTTCAATAGTACCACGCCCAGTAAAGGCGCTAATACCACCACGACAAATCGCACCTTCTGGGAGCGCGACAGCTTGAACGCTCGAACAAAGCTTAACCCGAAACGCCTCCAGGATCAGATGTTCGCATTCACCGTTACGAATCAGGTGGTGAACACCTTCCTCGAGATCGGACTTCCGTTCGTGCTACGTGCCATCGCGTCCATCCGCAGTGGGAAAGGTCTTTCGCTTGCTGCACCAGCTGCTGGCGCTGGTAATAGCAACAGTATCGGTGGTAAGAAGAAGCGTGTCATGTTCGAAGATCAGTCCGCCGACTCAGAAGTAGAACGGCTAGCGATTCAGGGCGAGGAGCGCGAATTCATGGACGGGGTCAAGAAAGAAGTCGCACTGCCGGCCTACGATCTGTTCGCGGACTACAGCGAAATGGTGACGCAGTTTGGCTATGTGTCACTGTGGTCAACCATATGGCCTCTCGCCCCAGGTATGTACATGAATGGTCCATGTTAAGATGAATGTGGAAAGGTAGCTGATCTTCGTTGTCCGTAGTCATGGCGCTCGTGAACAACTGGTTGGAATTGCGGTCTGACGCATTCAAGATAACTGTCCACGTCCGGCGACCCATCCCGACGCGGACAGATACGATTGGGCCGTGGCTGGACACGCTGACGTTCCTTACCTGGATGGCCGCGCTGACCAATTCTGCGCTCGTGTATCTGTTCCGGCCAAGCGACCAATGCAAGCCGGTGGGCACCTCACTCTCGCACTCGCATCATCACTTCAGCAGACCTGACTCGTCGACGAAGCAGCTGCTGGGCTCTGCGCTCCTCATCGCGTTCGGAGCCTCGCATGGATACATCCTCCTCCGCATGCTTGTGCGCCACTCGCTCGAGCGTGTGCTCTGGCGCGGAAGCACGGAGGAACGCGAAGCTGAAAGAACCGAGACGGTCGTGAAGGAACAGTATCTCCGGAGTCTCGGAGTGGTTGGGGTGGCGGACGCTGAGAACAAAGCTAGTGGGGGCGGGGCGGGTGCGGATGCGGGTGAATCGTCGGCGTTTTGGAGCCATGACGAGGGGCTGGATGAGCTCAGTCGGGGCACGAAGGAAGCGTAGGTTTGATGCCGCGGCGGGGGTAGCAACGGTTGTGGGCGATAGACAGTACTTTTGGACGTCCCCTGTACGTTATATTCTGATACTCGTGCATGATATGCGCCGGAGATGGTTATTCTGTGCTTCGTGCACCCCGAGCACACCGCTCGCTATCTGCCAGGTATCTAGAACCCACTAAGCGCCGTGTAAGGGTGGCTGGCGAGACTTCGAAGCACATTGATGACCTTCTCGAGGGATCTATACCTTCCCAAGTTCTCTTTGTTACCTCGGAAGATTGAGACCAGTAGTGTAATGGGTGCAAACAATGCGGTTCTCTGAACTCTTCCTCCATTCTGGGTGTGGTTCCTTGCGCGATGCTGTCCAGGCCCGCGTCTTTGCGCTTCGAGTTGGTGTCAAGCGGTCGCACCGGGTTCGTAATATATAGAAGCAAGGACTCGAGGAAGGCATTCACTATAAAATACTAATTCCCATAATCAAGAACATATACCGAGTTCGTTGGGACCAGCCTGCTTGGCTTCCCAGAGCCCTCTGAGTCGAGACGTCGCCGCGTTGTGTACACGTGCTGATGCTCCGGCAATGAAAGAGGGCTTCAACGATTGGGGGGCGTGGGGAGTGTCAAGTAAGAGTGGGTGGTGAAGATATCGATCTGCTGGCTGTTGAAACGTTGATGGATTGAGAAGCTCGGAGAACGGAGCGGACTATAGAGTGATATGTGGATGGTGGGAATTTCATTTTGGCAGATTGCCAGGCACGGCGCGGAGCTGCGAGGCGGCCAACGACGAACACGACGACGACCGCGCCCGCCCTTGCCGAATTTCCTTCCCCATTCGCTCGCTGACCTGGCAACACTCGGCCCTCGACGTCCTGTTGCCGTCCTGTCTTTCCTCTTCTCCCATCTCCTCGACCTCGACCTCGACCTCGACATCCTCCATCGCGCGCCTGTCTACCACCCTGCCATCCTGCCATCCTCACTCTAATACACATCCTGATCTTGCGCGACGCCCCCACTTTCATTGCTGCATACCCTTCGTCGTCTTCTCGTGTTCTGGACACCGCTGGGACGTACTTCATTTCGGTTGCAATCATGTCGGTCATTTTCTTTTCCCTTGGCCACCTCCCGCAGCTCTCACACATTCCCCAGGCTCAATTAGCCGTGCTAGATCCATTTCGACTACTCTGCATCTCCTTGTAACCTTTGGTACCGTTTCAAAAGTAAGCATCCCTTTCCCTACCCGCTACCCCGCACAAGGACCTTTCAACGGTTGTTTACCATGTCCTCCCATCCCGTGTCATCCTGCAGTATGTCGGCACAGTACGACCTTGCCCGCCCTGCGAAGCAGGCATATTCCATGGACACCACTAGACTGCATATGGCCAGCACAACTGCGTCCTACCTCCCCTCTCACAATCAGACTTCCTCCTTCCGGCGAATGCCGGTCCAGTCCACCTCGCTCCCTCACACCTCATGGCTTTCCGAAGCGGGCGAATTCAATCCACCTGCGTCCTTCTCTCAGACATACCTCGGTGTCGGTGTATCTGCTCCAGGAAGCGACTCGATAATCAGTGCTGGTTCCTCAAGCCATACAATACCACGTGCCCGCTCTCGAGACTATCTCTCGACTAGCCCTGTGTCTCCCCCACCGCCGTCGGGCTCTCACACGCAGTCCCGGCATACCCCCAGCCCCATATTGTCGCCATCGCATACACTCCACCCTTCGCGATCTTTTACAGTTTCAGGCCCACACAAGACGTCTGGGATGTCTTCCGACCGCGATGCCAGCGGCCACCTCGACATGAAACGTCTCATGAGCAAACCTGCGAGGCAAACTCCCTCTGGTTCGCTTTCCCTTCCTTCTGACTCAGAGCGTTCCGCAGATGCTTCCAGTCGAGTCCTTCCAGCCCGGCGTCCCAGTGATGGCACCGTATCTCGACCCCCGCTCTCCAAGAGCGCGAGCTCGTCTCGCGAGAAGATGTCGTTGCATGTGAACACTAGCGGGTTGCATTCATCATCGGCACCTCCACACAGTCACTCGTCGTCGTCGTCACCGGAGCGCAAACCCGACGTGCAGTCCACTAAGCCAGTCCGTAACGTTCTGCGGCGCCGGCCAAGTTCACGTTCTAAGCCTCCTGCGCCTAGCCCTGGTATTATGCACGCTCGCGCTGCGACCGATGATCTTGCCATGTCATCTCGAT